GAGCGCCCCCTTTCTCTCTTTAGCTCCCGTGTTCGGTGGTCATTTTGACGTTCTCGTAAGAGGAGCTTTTCGATCAGACTAAACTAGAAATTCTGTTTTACGCTAAGGATGTAAAAACGATGAAAAAATATTGAAATATTGCTGCTAAAATTCAATCTGCCTCAGATCAAAGTATATTTTTACCGTTCGCGTCGTTCCACATGCACAGAGATGAAAAAAAAAAAAAAAAAAAAAAAATTTACTCGACTCGTCCCGCTCTTGAAATTAAATTTTCCACTTTCCACACAATAGCTTGCAGATCTGATTTTTCCAGTCGCGAATCACAAAGATACTTGGGGACACAAAAGAAGAGATCCTAATACACCCTGTGCCTCTGGCTTGGACAAGCGAATTAAGAACAACGCGGGTCCCACGGAGGTTATTTTCATTCAGGGCCGTCGTCGCGCATTGTGCATTAACGCTGTGGCAAATGTAATTCCACGCTACGTTTCTGCTCCCGCGATGTGCTGCAAAAGAGCAAAATCAGCGTTTCCACGCAGTGCCAAGAGAATTCCTTTTTTTTCCTCCCCCTCGCTGACGGTGAGAACGGAATGAAAAAGGGGCACGTGTAACTTTATTCCTCTGGATAAAAACAATGAAAGTTAATTAGAGAAGATAAGGTTTAGGCGTTGTGTACAGAAGCCTCGTTTGCTTTCGCGAGGATATATGTTTTTCTAAGCTGTTGTGCCGGAGAAAAAAAAATCGGGGCTCGTAGGAAAATGTTTGCTCTTCTCATACGACTGCTGCTTTAACAATGTTTGGCAACGCATATCGCTCGATTTTATTTACGCGAGGCACTTTTGTCCCACCGCTCTGTTCGAAGTTATCAGCTTCCGAGCATACGTGTATTGGTTTAACGAGCGTTAATTTTTTGCTGCCCATGGCGAGCGAGATTTTCTTTTTTCCCTAATACTCCTCCTACGCATGTTCATCTGACGGCCATTTGTGGTTTGTGAAAAATGTATGAGATAGAGTTGCGTTAAATGGGACAGAAACAGTTCTACTGACGATGCCGGAAGCAGTCGGGTGGAAGGATATATTTCGACAGAAAGACCGTTTTTATCTTGGCAGTCGTAGCGATTAAAAAATATCCTCATCGGAAAATATCGTAATGTTCCTACAAAGTATTCCTTTTGTTTCGATCAAACGGTTTCATCGTCACAGCCGGTAGGAGTGAAAAATTGAAAAGTTGAAAACCAAAAAGGGTCAAACACCCGGCATCGATCTCTAAAGTAAAGGAAAAAAGAGCATCATCAGAGTAACTCATTGTCTCATTGTTCCTTTTGACGGAGAGACAGGTGGCAGAGCCTCGTTTTTACAAACTGCACGACACGTTTCAGAAGGAAGACGAGAAGAAGGGAGGGAGGACAAACTGGGGCAAAAAGCCATTTGGAGCTGACGACCTTGTTGAATTCGCTTCCACGCGAGCGAGAACGTATAACAGGTTGATCGTCGGAGTTCGGAAAACTTGCCATTCTTTTCATCGTTTTCTTTTGTCTCCTTTGCGTCTTTGGCTGTTCTCGTCACCAGCTGCGCTACGAATTTTCTTGTACTTTGTTGGAATTTGAAGTTTTCACTCGGAAGTTTTTTAATAGTCTGAGAAATAATTTTTTTTTTCTAGTTTATTACGATGTATTCAATACTACACGTCCGGAAACTAAAAACTTCGCACGCGATTATTTTGAGGAATTTTTATTTTTTATTTTTTCATAAGAGTATAGATTTCAGTTTAAGACACTTTTTGTCTAATACACTTTTGGAATGAGCATTTTGTTTTTCAGAAAATGCTAGCAATGAATCTCATAAAAATGGCAAATATTTTTTTTTTACCGCAAACGGTCTTCAACAATTTATTCAACCGAAAGCATGTACACTCTTTGTTTTTACATGATTTCACAATGAAAATGTATTACCGTTGCCTTTATAAAGATCTGTTGTTTGAGAAAATAAAAGAAAAAAACGTTTTGATACTAAGACGTGATGTATACTTACTTTATTGCTTCAATAATGCATTATCATCTAAAAGTACGACGTTCAAGGTCTACTGTCTTGAAAAATATTGCACGCACTTCCACAGAAAAGCGATACACGGAATAATTCATGAGAAAAACCCAAGCGTTTCCTTCTCTCTGGGGAAATGCGTTTTGCGTGACTGGCCCACAACTCTGCATGCTAATATTCCATTTTCTTTCTCCCTCGTGTTATGAAAAAACAATTCAACGGAATAACTCTTTTATTTTTCTATCGAGAAACAAGACAGCGCGAACATGGTCTTTGTTTGTATTGAGGATTCAGAGATCCTGCTACCGTTCTCGCCAGTGGAAGCGACTGAAAATTATCGAGGATTCGAAGATCCCGCTTCGGCACATATATTCCAGTAAAGTAGATGAAAGAAATAAAAAAAAAAAAAAGTAAGTGAGACCCAAGTAGCTTTTTTATCCTCTCACGTCAACGTAGAGCAAACCAAGGAAACTCAAACACACCGTAAACAACTCCAGGGAGCCACCAACCTTGAGTACACACGGTATTTCTTAGCTCGTCAGTCTGAAGGGTAATCTCGCCGCTCCACACTCGACGGCAGAAATAATATTAGCCTATATATCGCCAAAGGACAAGCATACAGTAGTTGCTCCGGGCAACTTGCTGAATTGTGCCTGTCATTTGCATAAATGAGCCCCACCCACGGTCTATTTTTGGACCACTGATATGGCGGCGGTAAGCACGAAATCGGGAGCACGTGAAATACGCTTGGCTGACCAATTCTAGAGTCTTACTACTTGAAAGTTTCATCTTCGCGGCTGGACGTAGTCCGTAATACCGATAAACGGTGTTTGCGTAGTGCCGTATCGTTGCGGGGATCATGTTTCACTCTTGATTAACTGCTGCGTTGGATAATATTCAAATATTCAACAACCGTTTCCTAAATAAGCTGTCGAGTGATTTGAGTTATTATTTTTTAACGTTCTGTTGACACGTAATTCCAAAACTGTTCAGACCTGTAGTAACATTATTCGTGACCAACTCAATCATTTAATCAGCCAATTAATTCGTTCAAAAATCACACGTGAAGCCAAACAATTAAAATCATGTTGCATGATTTTCAGTAGTAAAATCTGTGTGTGGTCAGACGCGCACATGTCTTGCAACATTTGTACGAACCGCTAAACTCGTCGGTTCCATCCATTATTTTACTGTTTTTGTGATACTGCGGATAATCCGTAAGCTTTAATCATAATCTGAAACAAAACGAAACGGACTAACTAAATAATTAATTTCAATCATGCTTTAAAGCGCATTTCCTCGAAACGTTTAATCTCCGCCGCCCGTATAATCTCGTTAAAGGTTGGAACGATGCAAAATCAGACGAGATTTACGTACCTGCCCTCCTAATCACAGATAATTCATAGATCATTCGGTGTACACTATTATGATGATACCGTAACAAACAACAATGAGTAATCTTGTACGTGACACACGAACGCACGTATACGAGTTATATTAATTGATTTTGAAAACGGATGCAATTTTCGATTCGTCAATTTCCGTGGGAATAATGGAAACCGACGCGATGACCAGAATAGCCTTCGTCAGTTAACGAGATCCTACGAAGGAATTGCCGACCATGTAACTCGTATAGGTATAGCGCTCGTGGTCGTGTACAGCCGATAATTAGGACGGATTCCATTATCAGGAAACGCTCCGATGACAGCACCTCACCACCGGATCTACCATTTACATCTCTCTCTCTCGGCAATATCCGTACGCGCACATGTGCGGGCGCGCGCGTGCACAGATAACCGATGATTGGGGCTCTCATCCTGCCCCTAGCACATCTGTAAACGCGTCGGTGAAATTGTTCCGCTGAATCGACACGCGCGAAATTCGGAAGCCTTCGACGCGCAGGGGTGTACGCGCGCGTCAGGCACACTCGGCGCTTCGAGGCTGCGTTGCTTCGTGGTTGGGTGGAAATTCGTGTAGGACTGCACTGCCACTGAGGCGGGGGGCTTTGGGAGTCCGTTCCGAGGGGATATAGACAATGGCCTGCCAAGGATTTCACGTGTCTGCTACGTGCACGAGGGGGTGGAGGAATTTTTTGGATGAGAATTCATGAGGGGTTGGAAGAGACGATATTGATTTTTACATTGCTCGGTTTGTCCTCCAAATAAGTGAATTTCTAACCCACCCTTACACTACATAGTTTTTCTTGTTTCAAGAGATTTAGTGACGCAATTTGTTCTATTTCTATTTGTAAATAGTACATCAATGATGTATTGACAACTGATAGGTTGTTGAAAAATTTGAAAATTTGATGTATATGTTAATTTTTTTTTTTTTAGTATGTCATACTTTTCTTCTTTGAGTTAGTAAATAGCTTTTAAGGTATTAATTACAGATCATTATCAAAAGATCGTATCGTTGGAGCGTTCATTAGTATTATGGGTTTCTGACACTTGATACATTGATCCTAGAGTCCTTCGTAATACAATAGATGATGCTTGCATCGGTTAGCTGCGGAAAACCAATACTCGAAGCCATCAGTGGGTACCGCTGGTTTACCAGTCTCACAAATAACTTATAAATAAATATACTTTATCTTGATATCAAAACCCCATCCAAATTATGTTTGTATAAATAATCGTAATAGAGTAACAAAGTCTTTCAGTAGGTGAACAAAGTAAGTCGTGACAAGTATATCGGGGAAATAAAAAAAAAATAAAAAAAAAATAAAATAATCGCAAAAACTTCATAAACGTATCCAACCATTGTCTCTCCATCGCTTCTGATTCCACATCAATAGATTTAGACGCCAACCAAAAGAAAAAAAAAAAAAAAAAAAAAACACAACACCAAATTAATAGTTTGTACAACGTGTGTGTATTTGCAATAAACGAAAAAACAAAAATCTCCATCGGAACGTGTACTCGCGTTTCGATGCGACGATGCTGCTTGCTGTTCCTTAGGCCGTGAACGTGCCGCACAAATGGGAAACGTTCTCATACATCACGCCAACCTTCTGCGACCACTGCGGCTCGATGCTTCACGGCATTACGAATCAGGGACTCAAGTGCAAAGGTATATCCACAACAATAACAACAACAACAACAACAACAACAACAACAACAACAATAATAATAATCACCATCTCCGTCAATGTAATATCCGATCTTTTAATTCCATATAGATATATCTCTATAGCTCTCATGAAACAAATTCCATTCACTTTCATAGATGACACTGTTTTACGCGTATAGAGTAGTGATGCTAGATCAAACATACACATATGTACATGTTGCTTGTATCCACGGCATTGAACCAGTGAAAGGGGAAAACGAGTGATAAATGCGTAAGAGACGCTTTTTCAGTCACATTGTAGCTCTGGTAAGGTGTTGATACATACATTGTGCACAACTTCATGCTGTGCTTGGTGCTTTTCTTCTCCAACTGAGGTGCGACATTCGTTTGGTTTCCTATATATAGGGTTAAAAATCATCTTTTTTTTTTTTCTTCTTACAAAGGATTACAGGTGACGTTCTGCTCAAATGGCAAAGAAAAAACTTTCATATCGCCTTTTCTAATGGAGACTTGGTAAAAAATTGTTTAGACCCCAGTGTCCATCGATGAGTCACGAATAATCCATTTTCATGCCCAAAAAAGAATGTCACTTTTCTCCCGTACATATTACACGCAGTATGAGAAAATCATCCTGTCAAGCCATATATACATACACACCTCGCGACTAATCTGAAAATCGGCTTTTCGTCGTGCATATTTTGCTTTAGTATATACCTATCGTCTCTCACATCTTCTCCATCACACGTACCTATATACTCATCAAAAACTAAATCTCGTATCTAGATTGAGTAAAATCCTTTAATTATCCTCACGTGAAGACGCTCTACGCGTATTTGTGAGATATTTGCTTGGCTGGAAGACTCTTTGTCCGACAAAACGCGCACGTCTCGAAGTATATCACTGCAAGCTCACAAAACGCATTATTGTTCCGATTGCCTCTTGTGTACGTGTAACTTTATCGGTTGTTCTGACGTCATATCACCATTGTTGGAAAAGAAATTATTTTTTCTATTTTTCAAAACAGATACTTGAAATGAAGCATACGTTACATTGTATGCGCACAAAGAAGAAACGTGAAAAATGAAGCTTCGAATCAGTTTAAAAAGTGCAATCTATTTTTCACTCAGCTAACAAGTCATTGTGACGCAAATGGTCTATTTATCTAATAATCGATGTAACAAAAGATGCTATTGATATAGAGCACGGTAAATTGTTTTTATTTTCCATAAAATTAATTTTTGTGATATCGAATTACACACGTTCAAATAAAATTCAACTTATAACATTGATACATTTCATGTGTCGATGAATTTTTAAAACATCAACTAAATCATCTTTTCCTGTCTGCTGTTGTAAAAAGGAACTGATCATTCTTCGCTCTTCACGCAGATCCTATATTTTGTTTTTTTTTACAGCTGATTTTGTCATTTTTAATCAATCCTCTTGTATTTTGTGCAATTTATTCCCCATTTTTCTGCACAAACTCTGATTTCAATTACTCGATCTCTCTTTCTCTCTCTGCGTGTGTTTTTACACAACAATACCTCCCCAAGATTTTGTATAACGTGTGCTACATGTGTATTTATCCACTTACGTGGAAGCGTTGGTTTTTTTTTTTTTTTTTTTTTTTGATAATCATACAGTTTTCGTTCCTCCAATTATCTTAATTTTCTGATGCATGCGAGACTCATTCAAGTTTTGTCGTTTGTCAAGTTATTTTTTAACTTTCAAGGTTTCATCACCTTATCATTAGTTAGCTTTTTTACACGCTCTATATTTCATAAATAACTTTTTTTTTGTAGTGATCATTATGTAATTTTTTTTTTTTTTTTTTTTTTTTTCAAAATAAAGTCTCATGTATATTTATGATGTATCTGTGCACTTGACGAGAAAATGCTTGGAAACGAGTTTATTCATTTCTTCACACTCACTAGTTTTTCACCCATCAAATAATGATAAATAAAAAAAAATTAAATGAATAATCCTGGATTCATGCAAGTATGCTTTAAAAAACAGTCATAATCACTGTGCAGTGTCATTGTTTCACCTTTGAATTGTCAAATTTTCATATTACTCGCAATCACTCGAGCATGGTTTAATCTCATTACTTTTTATTTATTCATAAAAAAAAAAAAATAAAATAAAAATAGTCCGGCAGATTGGTCGAGTTTTCCATTTAAATATTTTTGTTTCCATCATCTATTAAAAAACCATAATATCGTGCCACTCACGATCAGCCGGACTCGCGTGCAATGAAAATCACTTCTATCATCCACGGATATAATAAAAGAACTTTGCTAATTGATTAATAACGATGATGTATCTGGTGGACCGCAGCATGTGACATGAACGTACACAAACGATGCGAGCCCAGTGTACCGAATCTCTGCGGATGCGACCACACGGAAAGACGAGGCCGTTTGGAGGTCAACCTCTCAATCAGTGGGAACAAGCTATCAGTCGAAAGTAAAATACATTTTCATTTAAAATTAATACAATTGTACGCAAAATATTACTAAATTGTATGTATATATTTCCATGTATTTATTAAGTTAGTTTTTTTTTATTAAGATATTTATGATGCGTTTTAACTTTTAAAGTAAAAAAAAAAAAAAACACAATTTTTTCCCTATATTGCCGTGCAGTCATACAAGGTCGGAACCTCATTCCCATGGATCCAAACGGATTGTCGGACCCGTACGTGAAGTTGAAACTGATCCCGGACGGCGAGAACATAAAAAAAAAGACAAAGACCATCAAGTCGTCCTTGAACCCCGAATGGAACGAGACGATTGTCGTGTAAGTGATTAAATTAAAAAAAAAAAAAAAAAGAAAGAAAAGAGTCAGCCAACTAAACAATAACCGTCTTGATTCCAAAGCGACCTGAAGCCCGACGACAAGGACAGGCGAATACTGCTCGAGGTCTGGGATTGGGATCGGACGTCGCGCAACGACTTCATGGGCTCTCTGTCCTTCGGGATATCCGAGCTGATGAAGGCCCCGGCCAAGGGCTGGTTCAAACTCCTGACCCAGGAGGAGGGCGAGTTTTACAACGTCCCGGTCGCCGAGGAGGGCGTCGACCTGTCCGAGCTCAAGTCCAAGATGAAGGTACGAACGGTATGTAAGTCCAAGCTAGTTTGCTTTTGCCTAGCGCCTATTTTTTCTCTTCCCGTAGTTTACGGTGGCTCTGTAGAGGGTACACCGAGAGCTTGTCGTGAGGCCGAAACGACGTTCTTTCCGCTTTCTTGCATTCGTTAGTAGAACAGGTGGTTTGTTCATGACGACCGAGTGGAGTGGAGTTGACGGTATGCATTAAAGTAAACCAACTTTGGTGCTGTATTTAGATCAACGTAGATTTATTTAAAAGTCTTTTTTTTTGTATCATTGCTATTTAATACAAGACGACGGTCGGTGATCCCGAGCGTATCTTATCTTGCAACGTAGTTAAACTTTTCAAGCGTAAATCTGTTGAACCCATCCTTTGTAATGTAGTTTTGTCGTACTCATCGGTGTGGAGGAAAATAAAACGATCCACAGCTACGTGTTGTATTATGGAAAACGATTAGCCTGTAAATAGTAATCGTGCGAAAATGGTAGTTAAAGACCAAAGGGTGTACCCCCGACAACCATTAAACCCTCCCGAGCTGAAAGGAAGGGCGAGCATTACGCGGTGATTGTCTTCAGAAATCGGCCTCGGTTGTGAAAAAGCCGCCACCGTCGCACGACAAGGAGGTGCCGCACAACATGGGCAAGAGCGATCTCATCCGCGCTTCGGACTTCAACTTCCTGCAGGTGCTCGGCAAGGGGAGCTTCGGCAAGGTGCTACTGGCGGAGCGCAAGGGCACCGACGAGCTGTACGCCATCAAGATCCTCAAGAAGGACATCATCATCCAGGACGACGACATCGAGTGCACGATGGTCGAGAAGCGCGTGCTCGCGCTCTCGCACAAGCCGCCTTTCCTCGTCAGGCTGCACTCCTGCTTCCAGACTATGGTGAGTTGTGTGGAGCTTTCTTTATTCGGAACGTACATATGTAGAACCAAACGAGTCGTGTTTGGATTTTTGGTTTTTTTTTTTTTTTTTTTTTTCATTGGGTACGATCGTCACTTGATACTACGGAAATAAAATTTATTACTCTAGCTCTGCTACAGTTCAACTCACAGCGTCTTACTTGTCCGTTTAAGTGATGATTAAAATCCAAGCTAGTAATGTGCCAGCTAGTTTTTTCGCGCTCATAAATAATTACCCATTTAGTCGATGAAAAAAAAAAAAAAAAAAATGAATATTCAATTCATACAAACCGTCCTTAGTATAGTGCAGCAATCTCATGCAAAAGCTATTCTAATTCGGTTAGTCTAATTAAAACACACTTATCGTATCGGTGCATAAAAAGTCTTCAATAAATAACACTCATCACTTGTCAAATGAAACTTGTGTATGAAAAAATAGTAATCTCTGGCTGTAACAGTCGTGGCGTATACACAGCAATCGCGTCGTCCTATTCGTGTGTCGAACCACTGCTAATGATTTTTATGTTAAATAAAAGTATACTTCGAAAAAAAGTGATGAGAAAAAGTATACGCAAGTAACTCACGCTTTCAGGACCGGCTATTCTTCGTGATGGAGTACGTGAACGGTGGCGATCTGATGTTCCAAATCCAGCAGTGCGGCAAATTCAAGGAGCCCGTGGCCGTGTAAGCATCCTCTCAATACCGCTTTTGCGCTATCGTATGATGTTATTTTCGCAAGATATCGGAAAAAAATATCAAAGCGAAATAAGTGAAACCAAATAATTTTCCAACAGATTCTACTCGGCCGAAATAGCGGTGGGGCTGTTCTTCCTGCACTCGCGCGGCGTCATCTACCGCGACCTGAAGCTCGACAACGTCATGCTCGACCAGGACGGTCACATAAAGATCGCGGACTTTGGTATGTGCAAGGAGGGCATCAACGGTGACAAAACGACCAAGACCTTCTGCGGCACGCCCGACTACATTGCGCCCGAGGTGAGAGACTTTTCCTCTTAATGCTGTCGATACGAATCAGACGCTGGCATCGTACGTGCCAGAAAAAGCTCCGTATTTGCCAAAGTTCGATGCGGCAGGGAGATGAGACTAGCTGCTCTGTTACTCCCCGAACTTGAGATCCGGGGATCGGCTTTTTTTTCGTAACTTTTGTACTCGTGGTAGTTTATCGGGATAAAAATCACTCGACGTCCCGAGTAAAGTATAGTAACGATGCGACGATACTTGTTTGGCCAGATAATCTTGTATCAACCCTACGGCAAATCCGTCGACTGGTGGGCTTACGGAGTGCTGCTCTACGAGATGCTGGTCGGCCAGCCACCCTTCGACGGTGAGGATGAGGAGGAGCTATTTGCTGCCATCACCGATCAGAACATCAGTTATCCGAAGAGCCTGTCCAAGGAAGCCAAGGAGGCGAGCAAGGGGGTAAGAGTTGTCGAGTTTGCTTAAATTTTCATCCAGAAAGCGATTGGATTTGTTTACTCGTCCAAGCTGTGACTCTCGATTTTATCTTTTTCACTAAAGTTATATTCGATTAATTGTGCAGCCTCACAAATAGGAAATTTCTCGATCCTCATGGCTATACTGGCCATTTCCTGCATACGCGAATATCTGATCGCTGAATCGAAATCCATCAGAGTCAGCTCCTTTTTTCCACATGATTCACACTGGATATGCTGACTTTAGGCCTAATACAATTTGATTCTGACTGAAGATTTAGATTAAGCGATCTAAAATACAGAAAAAATGATTACACTAGTCCTTTGTAGCAGAAAAAATTTTGTTATGGGGTTGCGTAGTTTTTCAGTAGAACAATCCGCGTATGGTCAGACGTGTTCGGTAAAGTGCACCGAACCAAATGCTAGTTTCTATGAGCGTTAATTAATTTTTTTTCGTGGCTCCTGGGAGATTATTAACGCTCACACTGAATATATATATACCAAGCCTCAATAAAATAAATAAATAAATAAAAACGCAGAATAGCTGTTCCCGTCAAACTCGATCCCGTATCCCTTGTATTCCGAATGGATTTTTTCTTTACTATCTCTTCTTAGCTGCTTTCTTTAAACCCAGTACTGATGTTTTACCTGAAAAGTACAAAAATTATATTGTACCGCAGAAACATATTTAAAAATTTTGAATTTTTCATCTTGGGTCATTTTTTAAATAAATTTTTTAATTGTACACGATTACTTTGCACTGCTAGTAAACAGTATTTATTAAGTTANTTTTGATAATCATACAGTTTTCGTTCCTCCAATTATCTTAATTTTCTGATGCATGCGAGACTCATTCAAGTTTTGTCGTTTGTCAAGTTATTTTTTAACTTTCAAGGTTTCATCACCTTATCATTAGTTAGCTTTTTTACACGCTCTATATTTCATAAATAACTTTTTTTTTGTAGTGATCATTATGTAATTTTTTTTTTTTTTTTTTTTTTTTTTTTTATAAATTCAGGGGCTAAAAAGGGAGAAAAATTGAATTTACGAAATAACAGAGACTGCAGCTTTCATTACCAGTAGGTAGTTTATGAAGCGAAAATAAAGACCAGCAGCTATCGTAATATCGTATCCTCTGAGATGTGATTAAACACCGATATGATGATTAATTTCTGTAATTATCTTCTTCCAACCAGTTCCTAACAAAGAACCCGAGCAAAAGACTGGGCTGTGGTTCCCATGGTGAGGAAGACGTGCGCACCCACGCGTTCTTCCGGCGAATCGACTGGGACAAGCTTGAGAATCGTGAGGTCCAGCCACCCTTCAAGCCTAAGATCGTGAGTGTCTCTCTTATTTCACTTTGCCCATTTGCCTCGTGAAGTCAATCTTCCATTTCATCCACTTTTTCCCGCAGAAACATCGAAGAGACGTCGGCAACTTCGACAAGCAATTCACATCCGAGAAGACGGACCTCACGCCAACGGACAAGCTCTTCATGATGAACCTCGACCAAACGGAATTCCTCGGTTTTTCGTTCCTGAACCCCGAATTCGTTCAGTACATCTAAGCTGCTTGCGCGGTTCGCCACCCATTTTTTCTAAACCCAAAAGCTTACACCCTCACTCCTTCGATGCCAAAAGGAAAGTCGAAGCATCACGAGCAGACCAAAATCATGGAAATCGGTGTGCTTTCCCTTTCACCCCTTCCCACCCACCCCACTGTTGGTTGTACTGTCGACTTTCGTATTGCAGACCAATACCTTTTATGTATCTCTATACTTGAACGTATACCGCAGAGATGAGCAGTTGAACGGTGACTACGAAGATCGGTGTCGCTAGAGTTTTCTCTCTCGCGTGTGTAGAGAAAGACACGCGAAAATCGTTACAGTATCCGAATTCAATCGATGTTTAAATACAATAATGCGTGCACAACAAATGACGAGTACACGTGTGATTATTGAATAATATTGCATGGCGCCGAGCGCAATTTTTCTCTATGTATATTGTCTATCTCTCGTTCCGCCTCGTTTTCTCGAGATATTTCAAACGGCGAGGCTTTCTCGGTGTCATTTGAATGGGATACGTGCGCATTATGATCACGCAAACAATACGGAAAGAGAGGGACGATGACGAGTGGAGGAAAAATTAGTGGCGCGAGCTTTGATCGTATTAAAAACGACGCGAATCGGACATCAGGGATCAATTTGTTTTTGTATCTCCTGTATGGGGATAATTGTGTTTTTATTTATTCATGCGACAAGACGAAGGACATAGAGAATTGTCGAGTGGGATCGTTAAGTTTACAAGTCGAAAGGGTACGTTGAAACGTGATTCTCGGGTAGATGTAATTTTAAGCGGATCAAATGCATTTACTTCAGTAGCTTCTACTGTCGCCTTCCAAAGTTATCATATATTATAAAATAATATCGAATGAATGATTGACGAAACATATTATATTGCAAGTAAAATAAAAAAAAATACAAAAAATACAAAAAAAAAGCTAATACCGATATACACGGGTAAAATATGAACGGATAATCGCAGTAATAATACGCACGCCTAAGCGAGCCCAGAAAACTCCATATAACAATATCGTCGCTCATACGGGAACTTTCAACATCGGGAGGTACGTTAAAAATTTAATCGTGAAATAACAGAAATTATAGAGATGACTTATGTAGAGTAATCGCAAAAAAGTGAATCGTGTGCAAACGGGGCTCCCGACAGGGACTCGGATTGACACGCACCAATCTATTTCTTTTTATTTATGATTACATCCTGAAAGACGCAACGTCGAAGCTTCGTTATATTATTAAATGTGTCGCGACGAGGCACTTATGTATTTAAGAAGCATCTATTTTTTTCTCTAACTGGGGGAAAGAAAAACGATATCGGATTATCATTGAAAATTAGACAATGTTTTATAGATAAGTAAATAATTGTTCTTTTCAATTCATGTGAGACATGATGAAAGAGACATTGATTTTCTTTTCGTATATTAATAAATGTTTCTTTGAATCTTTCATCAAACGTGCACGGTATACGTTATTCCAGATGTATGAAAATAAATACTTGACCCTTATAAAAATTTTATNTTACGTGTCAACAGAACGTTACACATTTTCAATTTTTTTTTTTTTTGTTTTTTTTTTTTTTTTTTTTTTTTCATTGGGTACGATCGTCACTTGATACTACGGAAATAAAATTTATTACTCTAGCTCTGCTACAGTTCAACTCACAGCGTCTTACTTGTCCGTTTAAGTGATGATTAAAATCCAAGCTAGTAATGTGCCAGCTAGTTTTTTCGCGCTCATAAATAATTACCCATTTAGTCGATGAAAAAAAAAAAAAAAAAAAAAAAATTTTAAAAAGATAATTATATTATAAGTACAAGAGGTGACAGGCTAAAACTATTAGGTGCTTCTTTTTATACTCGTTAACACTATGGATATCACGAGGAAACATGATTAGCAAATGAATATATATAGATTTACGATGTACACTTAAATATATCGACTTCAAGGAAAAGTGAAAGAAAGAGTTGCGAATCGAAAAATTACGACGTAATGTAACGCATACGTTTTAATTTTGCGAATTTTAAGACGCGATGATGTATTTGAAAATTTGTATGGATCCAAGATCGTATAATTTCTCCACTGTGCTAGACGCGGATAAGCGTTTGGACGTAATTTCTATAATATCGATAAATCATTTTATGTTTGTTTCACGTAGCATAAATTAAGACTCAAGCGTAATAATCAAAAGTAGTAATTGAATAACTATGAATCTCAGACTCGAGGTCATGTGACTCCTATGACAGATTTTTTATTTTTAGCTATTAAGAAATGAAGAAAAAAAAAAAAAAAAAAAAAAAAAAAAAAAAAAAAAAAAAAAAAAAAAAAAAAAA